GGTGTTCTTAATTTCTGAGGAGGAACATAACTTCCTTGCTCCTCCCACGTGTGTTCATACTCACACTGACACTCACATGAAGGTTATGAGAATGACACTCTGGGGCTCTCTATTTTAATACAGTCCTTTTTGTTATAAATAGTAAATAGCTCAGATGATGAGAGAGAATGAAGCAGAAAAATAATAAGTAGTACTATGGACATGCAATCTCTCTCTCTGCCCCCCTCCCCCTCCCTCCCTCCCTCTCTCCTTACCTCCCTCCTTTTCTTTCTCTCTCTCTCTCTCTGTGTGTGTGTGTGTGTGTGTGGGTGAGGGTTGGTCTGTAATAATATTAGGAAAGGAATCAAGCTTGAATTCTAATCAGGGCTATATCATCTTGCTGAATTCCCAGAAAATCATTGCAGGTAGAATTCTGACTCCTCTCCCTCTTTTTTCTTACCCAGACATTATACTTACCACTTAGAACCATGTGCTTCACCACCTCAGAGATCTCTATAGAAAAGGGAAAGGAGAAATGTGGAGGAATAAACAGTAGCTATAGACCAACACAGGTCTATGAGTCGTACATCGAGATGCCAGGCCCCTGAGAAACACATTTTAGCAAGCACAATGTGAAGGTATGTGACTTAGGGGCTGTGTTCAGTAAGGGAAAGTGACCCCTCTGTAATCTTCAGGTCTCTCCAATTCCCTTGAAAAAGAATACTCATATCGAGAAATTTCTCAGTGACTAGTGGTACTTGACCAAAGAGTTCATGGGTTCAAGGGTAAGATAGTTGTTTCTCCTATTGATTCTCCTGGTTCACACTTCTCAGAGTAACAACCAAACAAATTCCTTGTAGGTAATAGAGGAAACTTTCTCACCAACCTGTTCTTTTGGTTTATTTCTGATCAAGCATGCAAATAAATACTTAGTAGAAAAGAGCTCCCATTACTCAAAAAAAGTCCTCAATTTTTTTCACTAAATGCATAATTTCATCGTCTTTTCATTCACTAGAACCAAAACTACAGAGAAAAGAGAGAATGGATTGAATGAGTAAAGTTAGGGCCTTATTATTATTGTTGTTGTTGTAGTAATTTTTCTTAATGATGCATTTTATCACTCAAACTAGCCCCTTAAGTTTAGGGACTGTCTTAATCTCTGTAGTTACTTCATGGTCCTCCACAGAGAAAATACTTGGGACTCATTTGCTGAGTGATGCAAACAGTCGCCCCTATGTGAATTGTATAACTGACAGAGTTTGGCTTGAATGGAGAGCCCAAGAAATTGTAAGAAAAAGATTGTTTGAAGTGAAAATTTAAAATCTTTAGAAAACGATATTCTCTAGCACTTGATTAAACTCTGAGATCAAGCAAACAACTTCACATTTAGTGAGAATTATTCTCTGATTTTATAGACAGAAATTCTATGGCCAAGAACTTTGTAATAAGAATGGCAATCATCTGGCTGCTCCAGAAAACATAATCATATTTTTCTATGCAAAAGTGTGTCATGACTTTCCTGAGGACCCAATATATAGAAAAATCAGTGGAACCATTTTTTTTATTTTTTCTGATGGTGTGGGCATGTGCATGACACACAGAGAGAGACGTCACTCTTGACTCAGTCTCATCATGCTGCAATCCTGTTCCCCAGCTCTCCAGTTCCTCATGAACCTGAGTGCCTGTGTGTGTGCTGGGCATGTTTTTAGGCCAACCTAGGAATCCAAATCTGTAGTCAGTCATGAGACTTCCAGCTTGCAGCACACTACATTACAGCCTCGCCATAGCGAGTGGGACCAACCACAGGTTTTAAAGAGAAAAATTTAAGTTCATTTGTCTGCCGGATTGATTTGTGCTTGAAAGAATAAATCATAGGCATTTTTAAACTTAATTATCTTAAATGTCAAAAGATCATAGCTCTGATGACTAATTTTGAGGTAGGTTTTCTTTTTTTTAAATTTAGTTTTATTCACTTATTATTCTTCAATTTGACCGGAGAGTGAGAGTGAGAGAAAGAGGGAGAGAAAGCTACCGGTCTGCAGCTTGAACCACAGTTGACCATGTGGGAGTCCAGCACCCCAACCACACGCCACCTACCAGCTTTAGTTTTCTTTATTTTAATGCAACTTAAGCCAGGGCTTAAATTTTGTGGATGTGATCCTAGCCCTTATTCTTGCCCTTTCTCTTTCCTCTTTGTAACTGATCAATGTCAGTAGACTTTATTAAAGCAGTGCCTCTACCATTTCAATGGAAGATTGCTCTTGTTATTATGTATTTCTCTCTTTTTTTGGAGAGGTTTTCGCTACAGGGCACATGTGCCCGCCAGAAAGACAGAGAGAGACAGAGAGACAGAAAGCGAGAAATCACCCCCCGGGGGGATGGCCATGCCGCAATCCCTTCTCCTCCATTCTCTTCTCAGGATCTTGGGCACACATGTACATGTGCCCGGCATGACTTGAAGCCACTGGGTCTGGGACTCGAACCACGGTCGACTACGTGGGAGTCCAGTGACATAGCCATTACGCTAACTGCTAGTCCCTATTATGTATTTCTTTTAAACCACAAACTTCTGGAATGAATGAAGTTTTTAAATTAATGAAAATTTATTACCTTTAATCTGAAAGAAGGCAGGTCTGTATTTATGCTCCATTTTACTGTTCATATAAGCATAAAGAGAGCTATCTTTAAGTTGGATGGAATTGTAAATAGTGAGTATTGATTAACCCAAGAGTATTTAGAAATCTTCCTTGGCATTAATGAAAGGTATATGTACTATTAAAACCTATAGGGAAACAACAAAAATTAATGGTAGTTATAGATGGATAATTACATTCAAAAATGCCTAGTGTTTATTCTATCAATTACAAACATTTTCTTTATATGTATGTTTTTTATTATATAACAATTGCTTACTATGAAGATACATTATTTTAATCGAAAAAGTTAGCATTGTATAAAAAGCAATAAAAATCAATAGCCAGTCTCTTTTGCCCATCATGCTGTCATAGGGCGGAACTCTGAATGAACTGAAGGGCTGTGTCTGTGTGAATGATATGGAGGTGTGGGTTTGGGCAGACCAGATAACCTCTCTGGATTCAGATTCAGATTCCTCACTTGTGAAATTTGAGTGCAGTAGTCTCATCCCATTCTAAAATGCTTGAATTCTATAATGGGTTTTCTGTATAGTAGGCTGTATTAATTAAAACATTCTCTGACTTTGAGTAACAAATTTTGACTAATAATGGTTGAAATTATAGGAATATTCATTGTTGAATAAACACATAGATAGTCCGGGTCTGGATTAGTAGCTTAGTGAGGTTATCTAGAAGTTAGTCTCTTTCCAACTGTTTCTATGTCGTTTTTTTCAACTGTTGGCTTTTATCCTAGAGATTATCCTTCCCACGATCAGAAGATAGTTATCAGATACCCACATACCAAGGAAAAGGTAGAGGCAAAAAGTGTCTCCTTTGCATCTAGTAAGATCCTTCACATTGCATTTGTTAGAACTGAGAAATGTGTCCAACTTAGACTTATCAGTAGCTAAAAGAATGTAAGCTCCTTGCATTAGACTAATTTCCATTCATACTATACTTCAAAAGCAAGAAATAGCTGTCCATTGACTTAAACAGATCAGAGTTCTATAGCAGGGAAGGTAAGTGGGGAGATGTCCACTGGTCAGAAAACATAATATATCTACCAGGACTTGTTTTTTTATATTTCTGCCATGGGGTGTGTGTACTCTCTGGAGAGACAGAGAAAAACAGAGAGAGAAAAAAAATGAGAAGTCACTTCCCTTTTCCCAGGAATAGCAACACTACAATCCATTCTCCTCTTGGGATTTTGGGCACACATACACACACACCTGACATGATTTTCAAGTCACTGGGACCAGGACTTGAAACATGGATTCAGCCATGTGGGATGCCTTAACCTCCATACCACCTGCTGGCCAATGCCAGAACATTTAATAAAGAAATCTGAATGAGTGAAGGCTGAGTTATGACTTTCATAGATCCCAACAACTTTCACTCTTGTGGGTCCTTTGCTCCATTAAAAATCATAAAAATTGGGACCAGCAGTTAGTGTAATGGCTATGTTGCTGGACTCCCACGTAGTGGACTGTAGTTTGAGTCCCAGACCTGGTGGCTTAAAACTCACGCCGGGCACATGTGCGTGCGTGCCCAGGATCCCGAGAGGAGAATGGAGGAGAAAGGGTTGTGGCGTGGCCATTCCCCCCCGGAGGCTGATTTCTCACTCTATCTCTGTCTTTCTGGCAAGCACATGTGCCCTATAGCAAAAACCTCTCCAAAATAATAATCATAATCATAAAAATTATGCTTTATCACTGAGTTAAAATAAAGACAAATATGATCCAGGCTGGGTTCATTGTTATATATGAATGGTGATTACATTTATTATTACTTTTTTAGAGAGATTTTTGCAATTTGGCACATGTACTCGCTGGAGAGAGAGAGACAGGGAGACAGAAAGTGAGAAATCACCACCCCCACCCCCCAAGGGTGGATGAAGAGAGACAGAAAGCGAGAAATCACCCCCCAGGGTGGATGACCATGCTGCAATCCCTTCCTCTTCATTCTTTTCTCAGGAACTTGCGCATGCACACACACACACACACACACACACACACACTTGGCATATGTTTCAAGCTGACAGGTCAGGGACTTAAAACCACCGTTGACTACTATGTGGAAGTCCAGTGACGTAACTATTACGCCATCTGGTGGTCCCATGATTACATTTATTTTTAAATTCTGATTTAAAAAATTAAAATGGAAATATTTCCATGGACTTTTTAAAGTGTGAGTCCTAGATACTGTCCCTACTATGCCTAGTAGATAATTTGACCCTGGGTCTATGTTGCTTTTCTAGCTGGATTGTAAACAACTGCAGGGACTAGGTTCCCATGTTGCTCTCAAAGCCCCCATCACAACACTATAAATATAACAGCTGCTCAGTAAATACTATTGGGTTGACTTAATTATCACTGTTTCTTCCTCTAGGGTGAACCAGGTCCCCCTGGTCCTTATGGTCCTCCAGGAGCCCCTGGTATTGGACAACAAGGTATTAAGGTAAAGACATTCATTTATGTCCATTGGTTAGTACTGAATTTATTGTAGGGGTTGGGAGTATGAGCTGAACATTTTAACTTAATCATAATAGACACAAGGAGGCATCCTGTACAAGTTACTTATATTTTGGAAAGAAAAAAATTACTTTTCTCCAAATACCCACCTCTCTTCAGTATGTATGGAGTTCTGTTGAGTTTTCATGGACTTACTTTAAACATTAACATGCAAATGCATTGTTGGGAAGTGAAATACCTTAATATATCAACTATCACCACTTCTATTAAATAAGAATACAGGACACTGAACAAGTACATGCTGACAAAGGGTTTGTAGAGAATTAGAAAGGCACGAAGCATTCATCTTGGGGAGCTCGGCATCACGTAGGACATCATAGAGTAGAAGTGCTGATTTTAAATGGCTTTTCTATGTGGTTGGGACAATAAGACTTTGATGTGCTACTAAAATAGACACTAGTACAAAACTGCACTCTGAATGTAACCGAGTGTCACTATGGATGGCATTTCGACAATAAGCACATTGAGATTCCAGGGATGGTGGAGTTTATATTGGCAGAGTGATTGGAGAAGTGTTCTGAAGTAGATCAAGTGTAAAACAGATCTTAAAGGAGAGGCAAAATGGAACAGAGCAGGAACAAGGCGTGACATTCCAGGATGATTGCAGAGGGGCAGGGAACAGCACAGGCATTGTTAACTTAGTCATCTCAGTAACCAAAATGAATTGCTGCACAGTCCATCCTGCCAATTACTGCACAATAGTTTGTGGAAGAAGAGCTGATGGACATTTCAGTGTAATTTTAGTTCACTTACGTTCAAGGCATTTCTCCTGCAGAACTTTAAAAATATTTCTGAATATAAAAAGTTAGGACATTTTGCTATTTATCCTTGTTGATATCTCCAGCATATTTCATGCTGTGTTTACTCTTTATTTAAAGACTCTTCATTTTTATTCTATTATTTCTTTCTCTTAGGGAGAACGAGGCCAAGAAGGAAGAACAGGAGCTCCAGGACCCATTGGAGTTGGTGAGCCTGGACAGCCAGTAAGTAACAAAAATTCTAGATAGAATAAAAAGAATCATATACTTCTGTGTGTTCATTCTGGTTAGAATAAATGGGCAAATTCATTCACCTTGTATTTTTGGACAATGAAAGACATATGCAAGGACCAGATTCAGTGTTATTTTATTTATTTATTTATTTTTATTTTTTGGATAAGTTTTTGCTATAGGGCGCGTGCACTCACCAGACAGACAGAGAGAGACAGAGAGACAGAAAATGAAAAATCACCCCCCGGGGGGATGGCCACGCCGCAATCCCTTCTCCTCCATTCTCCTCTCGGGATCCTGAGCACGCACGCACACGCACCCGGCGTGAGTTTTGAGCCACCGGGTCCGGGACTCAAACCATGGTCGACTATGTGGGAGTCCAGCGACATAGCCATTATGCTAACTGCTGGTCCCAGTGTTATATTATTTTAAAAAAAGTTTATTTATCCCATAAGTGAGAGAAACAGAGAGACAGAGACATAACACCCCTGACCGGGTCCTGAGGCCACAATCCACCCTCAGCCTGGTGTACTTAGGGAGGGCTCCACATGTGAGCCTGTAACTTTCCTTTGTGAGTTTATCTCACGGAGCATCATGTTTTCTACTGCTGTGCCATCGGCTGACCCCTCAAGTATTATTTTTTTACAACACTTGAACTAGGGCTACAGATATATAATAGATCTATAGATCTGTCTAGATGTGTCAAAGTTTCCTCAGAAGGGGCTGACAGATGGCGTGGGCATTAAGGGCACTGGACTCCCACATGGCCAACCACAGTTCGAGTCTCGGACCTGGTGGCTTGCTTTCTTACTTTTTCTCTCTCTCTCTCATTCTTCCCCTCTCTGGTAAAATGAAAATAAATAAACATATAAAGTTAAATAAAATAATTCTTTAAAAATGTCCTAGGAAATAAGATCTGTATTTAGGCCTAATGTCTATTTTTTTTAATTGATTTTCCTGTAACCATGAGGAAAATTGCTGGTAATAAGGACCTTGCACACTATCTAATCCTGCTTTAAAAAGTAGGATTGATCATGATAGAAAGATAAAACTTATGTTACTCATAGCTTCTACTTTATATGCTTTGAAATTTACTATTGTTGGAGAAGGAAGAAAAGAATCTGTCAAAAGAGATCTGGAGAGGAAATGAATAAAACATGACTATTTTAGTATAAGAAGCTTCTTAATTTTTCAAATAATCATTGTTCTCCTAGGAAAGAATAGTACATGATTCAGTGAGGTACAAATAAAAAACAGCTGATTGTGGGTTGTCAGTCTCCCAGTTTAGTTTTGCATTGCATAGTTCCTCACATATAAATAAATACTAAAAGAAATGTGTTCCCTTGCTGTGTTCTGTGAGCAAAATGGCACAGGTTGTTTGAGGGTTAGATTTATGTCTGGATAGACTAATTTTAATGGGACAGCATCATATAGAGAAAAATATGTTGGACTATTGACTAGGTATCAGTAATACAGTCTAGGTTTTCATTAACTACATAGAGCTCTGAAAGTAAACCTCTAACTTCTTTGAATCTCTATTTTAGTTATATATTGCAACTTGATGAACTACCTCAAGACTTAGTGTCTTGAAACAATAAGTTTATGTCTCATGATTCTTGTTGGTCTCCCTGTTTTCTCAGTCTCACTTATATAAGAAAGAGATGTTTTGCTATAGGGTATGTGTGCTTGCTGGAGAAACAGAGAGCTGGAAAGTGAGAAGTATCACCTAGGGGGGGATGGCCACACCACAAATCTCTTCTCCCTTCTCCTGGGATCTTTGGCACACCCAGCGTGATTATAAAACCACTGGGTCCAGGACTTGAACTGTGGTCAGCATGTGGGAGTCCAGTGATGTAACCATTACACCATCTGCTGGTCTCGAGTCTTTGAGTTCTTTAGAAATAACATAAAGACTTACCTGGGACCAGCAGTTAGCATAATGGCTATGTCACTGGACTCCCATGCAGTTGACTGTGGTTCACGTCCTGGACTCGGTGGCTTTTAACTCACACTGGGCACGTGTGCGTGCGTGCTCAAGATCCCAAGAGGAGAATGGAGGAGAAGGGATTGCGGCATGGCCATCCCCCCTGGGGGGAGATTTCTAGCTTTCTGTCTCTCTGTCTCTCTCTGTCTGTCTGGCGAGCGCACGCGCTCTATAGCAAAAACCTCTACAAAAAGAAAAAAAAAAAAAGACTTACCTTAAGACTGACAAGGTTATACTGACAGTCCTTTATTTTCTAGGCATGAAACATTTCAAGTGGTTTCAAGTTTAGTGGTCTTCTTTTTTCAGTACCATGATAATATAAATCTGCTGATAGATTAAATTGATATTCTAGCTGCAAGACCTAACTTGAACTATCAACTATCTTCTTTCCACTAGTGATTACCATAGTTTTTGTGCTAGTTTGGTAGATATAACTAATTAATGACAAATATATTGGTAAGGCTCTTGGGGAGATTTTTTTCTGGGGGGGCAAGGTCATTCAGAGCACTATCAGTAAAAAAAAATCTTTCAAGTAGAACTATAATTACTTTGAGGTTAAAAATAAAAATAGATGACACTATTTGAAGATTATAGACAATTTTTATTATTACTTAGCATCTTTATGCTTGCTATGTATATTGAAATGACTTTCATTGATTATTAATGCTATTGAGATTGTTAAAGAAAGTAGTAAAATAAATATGATGAAGAATCATATCTTATTTCATTGTTAATGTCTCAAATAAAGCATTTCACTGATCAGATCTTATTAATTGATAATTAATTAAGTTCCTTTTTTTCATTAGAGATATTCATTACAAGCCAAAGAAGTATATCATAATTGCAGTTGTTTCTCATGGCCTTTGAATAGACATTCCTTTTTTTTTTTTTTTAATAGAACCATTTCTATTTTTTAAAGATGATTCTTTGTACTGTTTTGATATATTAAAAGTATAGTTCATTTAATCCAAGTACCTGATATTTCTCTTCTCTGGTTAATAATCATCTTCCATCCTGATTATTTAATTGGAAACTTGAAGATATACTTATGAGTATAGTATTATCTTGATCATAATTAAACCTTGGTAACTACTTTTTTTTTTTTTGGAGAGGTTTTCACTATAGGGCGCATGCGCTCGCAAGAGAGAGAGAGACATAGAAACAGAAAGCGAGAAATCACCCCCCAGGGGGTATGTTATGCCGCAATCCCTTCTCCTCTATTCTCCTTTCGGGTTCTTGGGCACGCACGCACACACGCCCAGTGTGAGTTTTAAGCCACCGGGTCTGGAACGCGAACCGCGGTCTACTACATGGGAGTCCAGCGACATAGCCATTATGCTAACTGCTGGTTGCCGGTAACTACTTTTTAAATTCTCCTAAATGATTGCCCTGATCATTAATTCTCAATGTTCAGCTTTGACCACATGACTCTGTAAAACTTCGAATATCTTCACTTTCACTTTAGCTAATATACTTTAGAAATTGTCAAGTTAAAAAGGTAAACTGAGTCAAACATACAAAGCAAAAGGAGTTTATTTACATCTGGGATGAGCAGTGTAGTGAGATGAGCATAATTCAGGCTCACCAAGGTCTTATAATTCTTGCACAGGTTTTATTTATAATATTATTCTTTTGTAATTTACTATAGGGCTCATGTGATCACCAAAAATAGAGAGAGATCGAGAGAGAGAGAAAGAAAGACACCAGGTCTGGGACTTGAACTGTGTGGCCACATGGGAGTCTAGTGTCTTAACCACCATGCCACCTGCTTGCATAGGTTAATGTGAGTAGGGAGAAGAGGGCAGGAGAGGAAATTATATTAATTGTTTTGGGATAATTTTCTTTAGCTATCAGGATCAGTAACAAGAGTGATATCAGTTCAAGGTTGAACAGGCAGCCTCTAGGTAGATATTTTCATAGAAGTAGTTTTTGATTTAGGTTATAGTGGCCTTTGTGCAATGTTCGGATTCTGGTAGAGTTCTCTAAACAGTTAGCAGGCATGCTGGCACAAGAAAACACCTCCTCCATGGCCTTTATGGCTCAGTTTAATCAGGAATGTCATAAATAACTCCATTTTGATTTTGAGAAACTTTCACAAAATGTAAAGAAGAAAGGAGGATTCGGTGTGCAACATGCCTTTCCCCACATTACTTAATTTCTTTTTCAGAATTGTACTTTTTAATTGATATTTAGTGGTTGCACATATTCATGAGTGCAGGTGGTTTTTCTTTTTTCTAATTGCCAGAGGGTGCATGTGCTCACCAAAGAAAGACAGTGAGCCAAAGGGTGGAGAAAGCAATCCTCAAGATGGTATGGTCATGTTGCAATCCCTTCTTCATTTCTCTGTCTCATTGGAATTTTAGGCAAGCACATACACATGCCTGTTATGTTTTTCAGGCTGCCAGAGCTGGGATACAAACCTCAGTTAACCATGTGAAATCCAGCTGGCAATGTGGGATCTAGCTCCCTTAGTCACTAGGCATGGGTCAGCCCCAACGTGGTTTTTAAATACATGAATATAATCTGTAAGGACAAAATCAGGGCAATAAACATAACCATGCTCTCAAACATTTGTCATTATTTTGTATTGTGAACATTGGAAATCTCCTTCTCTAGTCACTTTAAAACATTCATTGTTTTGCCACCAGCTACACTTACTCTTTAGATCTTATTCCACTTACCTGTTTGCACTCCTGTGTCTGCTAAGCTGTCTCTATGCCCCTACCCTTCCAGCTTCTGGTATCCATTGTTTCACTCTCTGCTTTTATGTGATCGACTCTTTTAACTTTCACTAACGAGTGAGAATATATGCTGTTTGTCTCCCAGTGTCTGGCTTATTTCACTCAGCATTATTTCTTCTAGGTTTGTTCGTGTTAGCACAAGTGACAGGGTTTCATCCCTTTTTAATTCAAGCCATCCACTCTGAGACTACCTTATTTGTAAAATTTCCACAGAAAGACATTCTTAGCAATTCTAGGACTCAGAATAACTTTGATAGTGATAGCAATTGTTTATCAAGTGGTTAATATGTAAGAACTGTAAGTCTTTCTGCTTTAATATTTATGTTGACACCTGATGGCATTATCAATATTACCATAATTCTGAGGAGGATGCTGAACTTTAGAGACTGAATTACTTATTTAAGTTCATACTGCTGATCTGTAGCAAAGCTGGGATTTGATTTTCAATCCAAATGACACCAGAATCTGCTTTTGACTCTCATACGAGACTGTAATCTCCATAAGACAGTGAACATTCTGTCTGCCATTTCTAGAATATAGCATAGTGCTTTCCACCTATATTTGGTAAATACTTTGGTAAATGTATTTAATGTATCGAATCATTTGGTTAAAAAAATTTTAAAAAATTAAACGAACTGGAAAAAGATCTTAGTTATGTTTAATGTAAATTGTGTGTGTGTTGTTTTGTATCTGTCATGTGATTAGAGAAGAGAAATTTGTCACTATTTTCTTTGTTAAAATGTGTATGTTAGCTTGGGACTTTTCAGTTTCGTTTGAATATAGTTTTCAACCTCGAATTTCTTTTTCCCCTAGCTATTGATAATTGCTCTGCTGTTAGAGTAAGCTGTCATGGATATTAATGTTCTGATTAAGGTTTTGGAGTGTTAAAAGCCTAGCATCCCACGCATTGCAATGTAAATTGAATTAGGTGTTAGCCTTTTCTTTTCTTTTTTCTTTCTCTTTTTTTTTTTTTTTTTTTTTTTTTTTTTTTTTTTTTGCTATAGGGCGTGTGCACTCACCAGAAAGAGAGACAGAAAGTGAGAAAGCACCCCCCCCTGGGGGGGGGATGGCCACGCCGCAGTCCCTTTCTCCTCCATTCTCCTCTTGGGATCTTGGGCACACATGCACATGTGCCCGGTGTGAATTTAAGCCACCATCCAGGACTCAAACCGTGGTCCATTATATGGGAGTCCAGCTACATAGCCATTATGCCAACTGCTGGTCCCAGCCAGCCTTTTCTTTTTAATTAAAGTCTTTACTAAGTGGCTATGTATAAATGTTAATGATGACTATCTTTTAAAATATACAATATTAGGGAAAGGCCCCCTCCCTCAAAAAAAAAAAACCCACTGGAATACAATTGGCTTTCTAACTATGGATCTATAACTGTGATCCATTATTGATGAGTGTAACACTGCATCCTAGCTCACATGAGTGAAAAGCATCTCTTAATTCTTTTTTTAATTTTTAAATTGTTTTTAGGTTTTTGCTATAGGGCACATGCATTTGCCAGAGAGAGACAGAGAGAAGGAAAGTGGGAAATCACTCTTCAGGGAGGATGGCCATGCAGCAATCCCCATGCTGATGGGATTTTGAACACACATGCACATATGCTGGGCATGATTCTTATGTTGCAGGGTCCAGGACTCAAACCATAGTATGCCATGTGAGAATCCAGTGCCTTCACACTGCACCACCTGCTAACCCTGAGTGAAAAGCATCTCTTAAATCATCTTGAATTATTGTATTGGGTTGTGAGAAAGGTCATGACACATTTTTGCATAGAAACAATATATCATGACTTTTCTGACAACCCAATATTTCAAGCCCAAAGATCACTCAGATGGTCTTCAATATTCTGTCTTTGAGACTTGTAAGAAACACAGTAGACTTTGTTTCATCATAGGTTTCCTTCCATGGCAAGTGAACCCTAATGATCTGTTTGGGTTCATTACAGGGAAAGCTCCCAATTGTTCTTCTAAGACTCTTGCTAGTGCTTTCTCTACCTTTTTGCTTTCTAGGTAAAAAGGAAAGAAAGGGAAAAATTGTAGTCTTTGAAAATTCCTGGTTTGGGCTGTCCCCATTGCCTAGTGGGTAAGGGAGCCAGATCCCTATGGCTGACCGAGGTTCAAATCCCAGCAGTTGTGGCTTAAAAATCATGGCAGGCACGTGTGCATGTGTGCCCCAAATCCTAACGTGATGGAGAAATGGAGAAGGTCTGTGATATGGCCATGCCCCATAGGTAGGTGTTTCCTCCCTTTCTCTCTGTCTCTAGCAAGCACATGTGCTCCCTGGCAAACAAATAAAGTAAGATCTGGTTTAAATGATAAGTTCACTGCAGTTTCCTACTTTTCAATTAGTACATTTTCTGCCAGTCCACCTCAAAGCCTAAGACTACATTGTTTTTCTTAATTTGTGTAAAATATTTTCTTTTATAGTATGAGTGATAGTTGCATGGACTTCTCATTTTTAATTATTGAGATTAGAGACCATGTGTCCCCTTAATGATCCTATCAGCATTTCAGTTTGTGCATAAAACTGCCAGGGGGTTTAACCTCTGAAATTGAATTTTAAATTGAATTTATTGGAACAGAAATTAAAACCTATGTAAGCAGTATGTAGTGCTTTCAAACAACTATGCAGTGATTTCTATCAAGGCTCGTCTGTTCCTTAAATTAAGAAATCTCTCTGCCTCCTTCCTTGGCTGCAAAGTCCTAGATGTTAAGCCATTTCTCATAGGATTTATTTCCTAATCCTTATTCTGAAGTGTTACTTAATTTCTATTTTCTTCTAATTTGAGGACACTAGAATAGAAGATATGATGCCAATCAAATGGAATGAGTGTTCAATACAATTAGTATTATTCTTCACAACTCTATAACTCAGTTGATCATATGGAGTGTGCTAGAAGGAGTTCCACTGAAGACTGAAGTCCATGTGAACTGAAATATAACCATTTTCTTTCTTCCCTTCTCTTCCCTATTTTCTCACTTCCTTTTTTCTTTCTTTGGCTCCTACTATTCTGTATTTCCTCCTATGGTAACTAGGGTCCTCGTGGTTCTGAAGGAGCACCAGGAGAGAGGGGCCTACCTGGAGAAGGATTTCCGGGACCAAAGGTAACGATACCTTCTATACTAGGCACAAGTGCTTTGTTTGGCATTGTCATAAATGACAAATTTTAAAAATGTGTCCTAGCCAATTACTAGAACGTAAGTATTTTCCTGACTATCTTTACTCTATTAAATTAAGGAATATACACATTTTCCCTTTATGTGAAAGTACAGTGAAATTTGCAATGAAAAGTAATCAACAGACTTCTACTTTATGTAATTAGTTCCTGAAATCGGAAATCCCTTAGTTTATAGTCATTAAAGCCACAGTGATAAATAGCATCTTTATGCCCAGAAGTTAAATTATTGAGTGTGGCTATGGCAATGCTTTGCTCAGCACTGTTTTGTAAAACATAGATAAGAAACCACACTGTAACAGTATTGCCATCAAAATAGCAAGAAAGAAAATTTTATCATAAAAAGCCTTTTACCCGCAAGTTAAGGATTTAAGCATTCCTTCTACTTCCTGCATATAAAGTTTTTTCTACACTGTAAGTTAGCAAACTTTATCTGCAAGGGGCCAGATAGCAAATCTTTAGGCTTTCTGAGCCATAATGATATCTGTTACAACTACTTAACTCTGTTGTTATAGTTTGAAATAAGCTATAAACCATATATAAGAGAATAAGTGTGAATGTTCTAATAAAACTGGACTCACAAAAAACGGGTAGTGGGCAGGATTTGGCTGAAGGGCTATAGTTTGCTATCCTCTGGCCTAGGCAGTATACCCACAATCTATGGCATGCTTGCCAAGGGCCATGTAGGATATGGTTTTTCAAAATATTGTGAGCAGTATCAACAAGATATGAGTAAGTAAAGATACATTTTTGGCATCTTTTTTTTTTTGAGGAGGGAGATTTTTGCTGTAGGGTGCATGTGCTTGCCAGAGAGAAGAGAGATGGAGTGAGAGAGACTAAGAAATCACCCCCAGGGGCGATGTTCGCACTGCAATACTTTCTCCTCCATTCTCCTGTTGGAATTTTGGGCATGGATGCACATGTACCCTGCATGATTTTCAAGCCTCTGGCTCTGGGTTTTGAACTGTGGTCAGCCATGTGGGAATCATAACTACTATGTCACCTGCTGGCCCAATTCCAAATGCTCTTTGATTGTACTCTTTGTTATAATAAATTAATTTAATTAATGTCACTTCTGATTAATTTTATGGTTTGTTTTTCATGTAAATATTATGATTTCATTGATATTATGTTAAATTCAGAGCTATTCACATAATTCATGTTACTATGGAAGCACTTCCAAGAAGATTTTCCATGAATCCTTGTAGACATAAATTTTCATTGAATGTTTATAAACTAAGAAACAAAACATTTAATAAATAATCTAATTCTGGAAAATTTTACTTCATTTAATAAAGTGAGAGACAAATTTTCCTTATGCGATGTATACGAGTTCAGCAATATTGAGGAAAAGGAGGCTTGATCCAGTTAGCTGTACTTTGTGATTGATTACATTCTTCATCTCCAGATATTTCTGTTTAAATTGGGAACTGAGCTGTTTTCCAGCTTCAGCGATGCTACATATGTGTTCTATTTGGACAGACTCCTTCCTGTTTAAATATTATGGCTAATTTTTTGCAAGTTGCAGATCTTAGAGTCAAAATTACCCATTTACAGTGAGTAGTGAATTTGAGTGCTTGATTTTAAAAATAAGTTTGAAGCATAACTCATAGTTATTATAAAGAAAACTCACTTATTTTAAAATTTATTTTCAACTTGCCTTAGGGGCAGGTCTCCAGAGAGAGATAGGGGCTGGGTCAGTGAGTAATCTCTCAGGGGGATGGCCATGCTGCAATCCCTTCTCCCCCATTCTCCTTTTGGGATTTTGGGCACCCATGCACACATGCATGAGCATGTGTGCCTGGCATGTTTTTTCAAGCCACTAGTCTTGGACTTGAACCACAAGTTGGCCATGTGAGATCCAGCCACCTTAATTCCCAGAAAATTCTTTTAAGCTCCTGATTTTTATTAATGCACTTACATCCATTTCATGAACTTTCAGGGTGAAAAAGGTTCTGAAGGACCAATTGGTCCACAAGGATTACAAGGCCTGTCAATTAAAGGGGACAAGGTACTGTATACAATGTGTATAATACAAGCAATGCTAATAAAATTATTTTAACATATTCTTTATGTATGTACAATTTTGCTCTATATATAGCATGACAACTATGCTACAACAAGTATCTGGTTAGTTATAAATCTAGTGTATACATGGTATATTATTACATAGGATGGATTGTGATCTGGAAAAACTTGTTGTTTATATTTATAGTAATATCGCACTTATTTTGGTTCTGACACCCAGTGACTTCTGCTCTCAGCAAAATCAAGCCAGACATTAGCAAAAGACACTTCTTCTTAGTCAAGAAAATGGTTGTTAAAACCAAATCGATTCGACTCCATTACTGAATATATATCCATCTCTAAACTCTCACTTAAAAATATTACCTTAAAATGGGGGTTAAAATAAAGGAAACTAGCATGAATGCCCTCCAGCAAGGATCAAAGAGGACTCCACGATAGTTGAACAAAGATGTATTGACTTATTTCAGGGAGGGCAACCACATATCATGGGGAACTGAAAATGATTCAGAAAGAGGATTGTCTTACTCTGTTTCCGGGTTGCTAGCAGTACATACCTGAGACTCAGTGACTTTAAGAGAAGGGAAGTTTATTTTTACTGAGCATTCTGGTGACTAGGAAGTCCAAAGGCATCACAAAATGGCAAAGGCTTACAGATGGCTGATGAAGCACAGAGGATGGCAAGCACATGCAAAGAGAGTGACAGCTGCGGCCAACTTCTTTCTTTTACAGTAGCCGTCTCTTACCAGAACTATGTCTCGAGAGAACTAGAACTCACTGGGTCTCCTGAGACATTGTTAATCCATTCATGAAAGTACTGCTTCCTGGATGTAAACATCGTGATTCAGTCACCACCCACTGGACATCACCACCTCTCAACATCAAGTTTTAAAACATAAAGCTTTGGGGCAGAAACCATCATATAGGCCCTAGTAAGGGGCAAGATAAGATTTTTCAAAGGATTTGGAATTGTTTTAGGTGATTGGGAAAGCATTCAAGAAAGTGGGGGTTGGCTTTGGATTGAATACTAAAAGGAAGAGGAGGATGATTTTAAGACTGTATTTTAATAAATCTCATCTAAAATTTGAGGAAAATAAGAGTCAGACATGGTAGTAATTGGCTAAAAAAAAAGTAGCTGTCATTTGTTTTACAGTCTAGGAGGATGCTTGACCGTTTCCTCAGACATGATTATTTACTGGACTTGCTTTTGTCTTGCTCCATCACAGTCACACAGTGGCCTTGTCTGATGCGGATGATCTGTGAAATTGTTTATCTTCAGCACCGTGACCTAGCTGCTAGGGTCAGTTCAGCTCCTGGCTATTGTTTTTTTTCTTTTTCACTAGTTTCTTGTTCTCTTCAAAATCATTGCGGGTTATACCAGATTAGAATTGGGAGTTTGGCTGGTGATAGAAGCTTCTGGAGGGTAACTCCTTAAAGAGCAATGGGAAGTGAGAGTTGTCTGAGGGGAAGGGGATATAAGAAATGTGCTAAAACCAGCGACCTCATACCAATTTGGAGTCATTTATAAGTCAACTTCTAATCATATTATATTAGACTATTGATATTCATGGTTATCTCAAGTGTTGGGCTTCAGCCTTTGAAAAAAATTATTATTTTATTTTATTTATTATCATCATTATGTGTTTAATTTGACCAGAGAGACAGAGAGAGAAAGAAAGGGAAAGTAGGAAAGCAAGCCTCCGAGTCCGGACTTGAACCATGATGGGCCATGTGGGAGTCCAGCACCTTAACCACCATGTCACCTGCTGGTCCCAGGTTTCAGTCTTAAATAGTAGTTGTCTCTTCTGGCTGTATTTTTCTCTTTCTTTTTAAATTTGCAATAGGGCTTTTGCACTCACTGAAGAGAGACTGAGAAAGGCATATGGAGAGAGAAACTGAGAAAGTATCCGTCATGAAGATGGTAACACTATAGTCCCTTCTCCATTACTCCTTTTGGAATTTTGGGCACACACACATGAACCCAGCATGTTTTTGAAGCTGCCAAATCTGGGACTTGAACTGCACAGTCAGCCATGTGGGAGGCAGCCACCTTAACCACCAGGTGGCCTGACTGTATGTATTTAAATAGCAGAGATAGTGGTGATAGTGAATTATATTCAGTTTTAGATATAATACAGTTTTTGGTTCGAGTAGTTTAGCTCTGGTTGTAACTAAAAGTTCCCAAATGTTCTAAAAATGATCTAAGATGCTTCTTCTTCCTTTGGAGCAATGAGACCAGTCCAACGGAACCATTGTTAGTAAAGGAAATTGTTCAGGTGTTGTGACATGGTGTTTGTGTGTTTTTTTATTTTTATTTTTTGGAGAGGTTTTCGCTATAGGGTGCGTGCACTCACCAGACAGACAGAGAGAGACAGAGAGACAGAAAGCGAGAAATCACCCCCTGGGGGGATGGTCACGCTGCAGTCCCTTCTCCTCCATTCTCCTCTCAGGATCTTGGGCATGCAGGCACATGCGCCCGGCATGAGTTTTAAGCCACCGGGTCTGGGATGCAAACTGCAGTCGACTATGTGGGAGTCCAGTGACATAGCCATTATGCTAACTGCTGGTTCCCTGGTGTTTGTGTTTTTACATCTGGAACTTATGCAAAGAAAACATTGAAATATCAGGACATAATCACATGGCAAAGCTTTTACCTAGTATTCCCTTACCAAATAAACAGTCTCCCCTTTCCTTTTCCCTTTCTTCTTTTTTTTTTTTTTTGTTTTATACATGAAACATTAGATTTAGTGTCTGTGATTTAAGTGATGAAGTGAATAAGCCCATAATAAGGGCTCTCAAATATATATAATTGCTAAAAATTTAAGAAGCAGTCATGACACAGGTATTTAAATGTAAGTAACACTGCATAAAAGGAGTGGGGGGTGTCTCCTTTCTGTGTTTATTGAACATTCACAGAATAATGGTTAACTTAAGTTCTGAAGTCAGACTGAAGGCTTGAAAGTCACTCCTGCCATCTGACAGTTGTTGACCTGGGTGGAGTTATGTAAACTCATGTGATAAATGGGACTGGATGCCCACTTCAGAGGGTTGTTGTGAAGAATAAATGAGTTAAAGCATGTAAAGTATTAGCCCAATAATAGTTACCTAATAAGTAATCAAGTTCCAAATCAGGTTAATCCAGCTCAGAATCCTTAATATTATCACCTTTTCCTTGTATGATACTTGTTTTGACTAGGGGTTGATACAAAGTGAAATACTAATATTCTAGGGCATGTCTTAATGCTAGTTCAACATACTTTATGTATAAAGTATGACTGAATGATATGCTTTTGTCTATAAACAGCATTTATTTAGCAAAGCATTGGAAAATCATGGGCCTAACTGTCCAATTTTGTAAATCAAATGTCATTGAAACACAAACATGGCTGGTTATTCATGTGTTGTCCATGGTGCAGCACTGATCAGCCAAGAAAGAGAACTTAATATGGCCTTAAGTCAAATTACTACCTAATTGTTTAATTTTGCTGATTCTGATGTAATCTAAATACAATTTCTATTAAAATAAGTACACAGGGACCAGCGGATGGCATAATGGCTACATTGCTGGACTCCCACGTAGTTGACCACAGTTCAAGTCCTGGACCTGGCAGCTTAAAACTCACCCTGGGAGCGTGTGCATGCATGCCCCAAATCCCTAGATGAGAGTGGAAGAGAAGGAATTGCGGCATAGCCATTCCCCCTGGGGGGGTAGGGGGGGTGATTTCTTGTTTTCTTTCTCTCCCTGTCTCTCTAGCAAGCATATGTACCCTATAGCAAAAATGTCTCAATAAATAAATAAATAAATAAATAAATAAATAAATAAACCTATTCATGTTGCTGAGTCCAGTGATCAATTCTCAGTTGTCAACTTACTTGACCAATCATCAGCATTTGACAGATTGAATCCTCACCTTTAAAAAAAAAATGCTATAGGGCTCATGTACTCACAGGAGAGAGACAGGGAGAGACAGAAATAAAATGAAAAAGCATTCCCCAGGAGTGATGATCATGCCACAGTTCCTTCTCCTCTATTCTCCTCTGGAGACTGGGCACACACGGCCACACGCCTGGTATGGTTTTCAAGCTGTCGGTCCAAGACTAACTGCACAGTTGGCCATATGGGATCCAGCTGCCTTAACTACCACATCACTGGCTGGCCCTATTCATCACTTTCTTGAAAAACTCTCTTCACTTGGTCTCTCTGGCTATCCCCTCCCAGCCTTCACTACCACTGCTTACCCATCTCTCTGACCTCTGGGATTGGAATGCTTAAAGGGCTCCATCCTTGGACTTTCTCTTTTTCCTATCTCCTTGGTAAAAGCATGGCTTTAAATAGAATTTATATACAGAGGGCTCCTAAATTTATGTCCCCAGCCCATATCTCTTCCACCTTCTTTATATCCTCATTTGGATGTCTATTTTAGGCACCTCAAACTTAAACATGTCTAAAATTGAGCTTCTGATATCACCACCCACCCCCAACCTTGCTTCCCCCTTAGGCTGCTTCTTCTCAGAACGTGACAACTTTGTTCTTCCAAGGACCTCAGAGATTATCTGGAGTCCTTGCAATCTGCAGCAAACCCTGTTGACTCTACCTTCCAGCTGTATCCAGGATCTGCGTAGCTACCAGCTCCCCTGGTCCTCACAGCCTGGCTGACACCCCATCATCTTTCACTTAGACCTGCCTTAGGTGTACACTTAACACAGCTTCCAGATAGAACTTTCAAAGCTAAGTCAGATCATTTACTCTTCTGCACAAAACCTTTCAGTGGCTTCTCATCTCACTCAGACACAAACAAAAGTCTTTATAATGTCCTCAAAGGCCCTGCTGATCCTTTTGCCTCTGCCACACTTCTTTGACTTTATTATTTTTCATTCTCCCTCTTGGTTTATGCATTTCACCCACACTGTCTTCTTGCTGTTTCCAGAACATTCATGCTTTATCCTTGCATCGATTGCTCTGACTGGAATGCTTTTCCTTCAGAGGCATCCCCTCTCATCAATGAGGCAATCCCTGGCCACCTTATCCAAAACTATCTCAGCCTTCTCCCTTCCCTGATTAATTTTCTTTCTATCATTATTCAATATACTATTTATTTTATCTACCCATCTTAGCTTTTTTTTTTTTTTAAATTGCCAAATGATGTATGTGCTTGCCAAAAAATCACAGAGAGAGAAAAGGAGGAAGAAAATAGTCCTTAGTGGGGTGTGGTCATGCCACAATCCCTTCTCCTCCATTTACCCACTGTGTCAGAATTCTTGGCACATACCTACATGTATTCAGTGTATTTCTCAAACTGCAAAGGCCAGGACTTGAACTGAGGTCAATCATGTGGGATCCAGTTCTTTTAATCACTAGGCCACAGGACTGGCCCATTCCGTCTTGTCTACTATCTTTTGTTTTCCCTACCAAAATATAAGTTCTACTGAGGACAGAGATTTTGAGCTGTTGGGTCACTGTTGTTTCTTTAGTGTTTGGAATAATTCCTAGCACATTCAACAAACATTTCTATAAAAACATTAAAAAAAATGAATGACTGGTATTGTTTTTGCTGGTAACTCTCACTTTGTTTTCTAAATTATTTCATGGAAGGAGAAGTTGATGCTCTAATTTTGTTGCATTTACTTTAGGTAATTTCTTAAATTTTTGAAATGTATTTTTAATAATATTTGGAGGGAAATATTTAGAAAATTTAAAAATATTTTTAATTTATCTTTCAAGTTTCAGTTTTCTTGTCCTTTATGAATTTTGTATTTTTCAATTGTCATGATTCTAATGGAATGTGTTTGTATCATGATAATTTTTCAGGAACTTTTTTGTTGTTATGAAAAAAATGATTTATAAATATAAGCTGATACAAATGCTTGCCAATTTAGAATAAATAGCAAGAGTTCTATTTACTATTGTGGCAAATTTGAATAATAAACTAAAAGGAATGAATTTTTACAGTTTTCCATGTTGAATGTTTTTGAATTGTAAATAGATTTTAATCTAGCCTAATTCCAATAAGCAAGGTATGGAATAATGAGGTTTGGTTTTATTATTATATTTTTCATTTATTTTCTATATAGGGGGATTTGGGACCTGTGGGGCCCCAAGGACCAGTGGGCATCCCTGGAATCGGGAGTCCAGGGGAACAGGTAATCACTGCCTCTCCTTCCAATACAGAACATTCCAGTCCAGTCTTGGTATTCATTGTCATCTATGGGGAAGGACAAGATGATTTCACTGGAAGATTTTATGTTTTAGAGCTTTCAAAGATTTAATAAATAAATTACGTGTTTCTAGGTTGTTGTGACTATTTACACTAAAACATAATTAACAGGGTAAGACTATTAGGGTAATATCTTGTATCTTAGTTCTTCCTGGAAGCAATAGTTTACCCATTAGTTTGTATTTTCTCTCCTTGAAGTTTTGTGAATGATTAAATCATACTCTTTCCCAGCAGAGTAGTACTTTCCACCCCTAGCCATATACCAATTAAAAACATGTAATAAACTTAAAACAAGAACCAGAGTCAGATGAATATCTTTAATTTAAGGGGCACTCTTTCTGAGTAGAAGCAACCCACAGAAAGGATTTATTAATGACACTTGGCCCTTCTCAGTCAGAAGAAAGGAAAGATATCTGAGGATACCTCTACATTTATGTCTGGAAGCTCTGCCAAAATCTAATAACTTTTGGAAAATATGGACAATAATGTGCAGTAATATAGTTGAATTATTTACTATTGTTATTTACCTTATACTTTTACCTATGTAGTTCCATTTAATCAAAGTGACAAATTCCAGATTAATGCTGAATAGCCTCCTGGTTAGAAAATGGCATTCTTCTTATTATTAGATCTTCCTGTTTCTCTTGATTAAAACTTAAAATTAAGTTTTGAACTATTTTGTTGTGTAGAGAATAAATAGTGCATCCTTTAGCTAGGATAATGAAAGAAGGGAAGATTTAGAAAAGAGATTATTCTAAATTTCGCAATTGACATTTAACTTTGATTTATTTCTAGCCATCTACCAATTTATTATTATTATTACTTTAAAAATATTTTTGGGTTAGCCTAAGCAAGAGCAAAGTTAAGTATTACTACTTTTTAAATTTCCTTGCCTTTGGCAGAGGTCCCTGTGTATGTATTAGGAGGATTTAGGTGCAGAAGAAGTCAAGATAAGTAAATAAACGCATATTTATATAATAATTAGGAGACGATAGTCTGGCTACTTGAAGATCATGGTTTGACTCTTAATCACCAGACAGTCTCAAGTTTTGTAGTTTATTTTTTGTTGTCAGCAGGGCTTCCATTCAGATCCCAGAAACACCTGGAAAGTGCTGTCACATCCTGGGTCTTGTGGTGTTCCTGGAGCTGAGTTATCACTGTGTGCTGAAAATGAGGTTCAAAGAAAGACAAATTTGTCCAGATGGCCTGTGAATTCTGGACCTCCCACCTGCAGCTTCCTGTTGTCTTTAATGCTTGTCTTTAATAGAAGTTGTTGTTCTTCAGCTTAAAAAAACTCTTTGACTTCTTAACTTTTCTGACCCTTTTTACTTTTTTTTTTTTTTTGGAGAATTTTTTTGCTATAGGGCGCGTGCGCTGGCCAGACAGACAGAGAGACATAGAGACAGAAAACGAGAAATCACCCCCTCACCCCCCAGGGGGGATGGTCACGCCGCAATCTCTTCTCCTCCATTCTCCTCTCGGGATCTTGGGCACGCATGCACACGCGCCCGGCCTGAGTTTTAAGCCACCAGGTCCTGGATGTGAACTGCGGTCCACTACGTGGGAGTCCAGCAACGTAGCCATTATGCTAACTGGTGGTTCCCTTCCTTCTTTTCCAATAGAAAAATTTTTTGTGGTAGATATGTCCTTACAGTACTGACCCCTATTAGATAGGAGAGTGAATGGGATGTACTATTTGTCAACTGCTCTGAACATAATTTATTTACCTTTTTAAGACAAATTATATAAATTCTGCTTAAATTTAGCATTAGTTTATGGAGTTATTCAGTTTCACTCTTATTCTTAATTTAATATGTTTATCTATGGGATTCTTGTTATTAGATCTCCGTATTTGTCTTATAGAAATTAATTTTCCCACTAATCTGTTTATGAGGAACTTCTATTTCTAGCAATATGTTTACAATATCTCTCAAAAGTCCTGCACATTTCATTAAATATTTAGAGCATTGATTATCTCATACCTTTTACAAAATGAAGTGAAATGTAAATAACCACATATATACATGTATATGCATGCACATTCCTTTGAATTTTTTGTTCTCTGCTGCATGGCATGCTGCTTGTGGACTACTGGAAAAGTCAGAAAGGGTTCCTTCTTTAGCTCTTCAATGCTTATAGTGTAGCAACCTTGGCTTCTCTGAGTTGTTTATACTGCTTCACCTTCATCGATCAGAGAAGAGGGAATAGTATTTATAAATTAAAAATGAATAGGCAGTTATATCACTTAACTGAAGAAAATAAGATACTGTTTATTATATTGTCATGTAATATGTTGCACATATTATAACCTATAAAAATAATGTAAAAAATAATGTATCTGTAAACATAATGTGCACAAACATGGTTTGTGGGTTGTAAGCAAAAAAAGGTTTTTAGTTTTTTTCTGTCATCATCTCTTTACATTTTTTTTTAAAGTGAGGGACAGTTTTTTTCCTGCCACAAGAAAAAAAAATTCTGTGAGCTACAGACTTTTCTGATCATTTTTAGGTAATAGGAAGTTGTAGGGTTGCTGTTATTTGAGAATCTCAGATTCAATTCTGTATTTAAACGTATCGATATTGTTAATATTCTTTCTGATCTTCGTTCATGATACAAGCTGCATAGAGAGAATGTTTCTCTTCTCTCCCAGGCTGCATCAGGTGGGAGAGAAGGGCATGGAGGTTCTATATTGATGGCGCTGGGTCTGATGGCTTCCGGCGCTCTGGTCTTGCATATGTGTGAAACTGACTTCCTCGCATAGTTCCTTTGCTGGCCCCTCTGACTGCCCTTCCTAAGATGTGGGGAAAGAACTCTTTTCTTCCAGCTACTTCTCTCTCTTCACCTCTCTTTTTCTTTCCCTTTTTTTTGTTTTTTTTTGGAGAGTGCGCTTGCGTTCTCCAGAGAGACAGAAAGCGAGAAATCACCCTCCAGGGGTGGGTGGGGATGGCCACGCCACAATTCCTTCTCCTCCATTCTCCTCTTGGGATCTTGGGCACGCACACACATGCGCTCAGCATGAGTTTAAGCCACCGGGTCCGGGACTCGAACCTTCGTCAACTACATGGGAGTCCAGTGACATAGCCATTACACTAACTGCTGGTCCCTCCACCTCTGTTGTTTTTGGATTTGCTCTATACACACTCTGCTGGAGTTTAATTACAGTGCCAGGTATCTAGGGTAGAATTAAAAATAATTCTAGGACAATTCTTTCTGATATCTAGAGTACAGGTAATCTCATCAGTACAAAAATCAAGTTCTCAAGTGGTTTCATTGAAGTCCCTTTCCTAGACTGAAGTAAAGAGAAACAACCCAAACTCCTTCCATTTTCTACAAAGCAACTCTATAATCTAGAACACTTTCACCCAAGAACTTTATAAGTTCTACCTCCCTCTTCCTTTCTATTCCTACCCGTGAGTAGGGTGGTGATTTCTTGCTTTCTGTCTCTCTGTCTCTGTCTGTCTGGCGAGCGCATGCACCCTATAGCAAAAATCTCTCAAAAAATAAAAATTAAAAAAATAAAATTCTAATTCTTAGCAACTGATACAATTAGGACATAGGTTTACTTGCGTGCAGTGGAGATGTAAAATGAATTAACTAGATGAACTTTTATTTTCCTTATTCAAAAATCCAAGCTGAGATGGTGGCTCTGTTCATCCATGTTATCAGGGATTCAGGCTTCTTCATCCTTAAGGTGCTTTCTTCATCTGCATGATCCAAGATGGCCCCCATGACTTCATTCCAGCCACTGAGGCAGGGGATAAGGGAGAGAGAAGCACACCCCTTCCTTTGGTACAAACCAGAAATTGCACATATCACTTCCATTTATATTCCATGGGCCAGCATTAAGCTCTTCTGACTGTACCTGGTAGCAATGGACTGGGAAAAGTTGTATTTATTCTAGGAATCCATGTGGACCAGCTAAAAATTTTCTTGTTATGGAAAAATGGGTGAATGCCTGTATATTATGATTCAACTAGCAGCCTCTGCCACCCCGTCTAACAAATGTTTATTGAATATGAGTAATCTATTACATGGTATGAATTAAACTTTTACTTTAGAGGATTTGAAACTATTCTTAGCTAAATATTTTCTTATTTCCATCAATAATATTTTGTAAACATTTAATTTTTAAGGGAATCCAAGGTCCAGTTGGTCCACCTGGTCCACAAGGGCCCCCAGGACTAGGATTGCCTGGTTCCAAGGTAACTTCCTAAATAAGAGCAGAGTTTAATATGTTTATAGTCTAATTCTATTTCCTGGTCAGTCATCAGTGCGTTTGAAGGGAGCAAGTGAAATAAACTTAAAAATCAGAAATTTCCATTTAATTTATAATGCTACTGATATTCCTAGCAGTTTAAAAAACGTAATATATATATTCTTTACTCCTTAAGAAGCTTCTACTTTATAATCATTATGTATTTTTTTCTTTGTTACTTGTGAATAACAGAAATGAGACCCTGTTCCAGCAACTCAAGATCTAATATCAGTAGAGGTTACCAGTGGTTACATGCCTCTCTGGGATGGCCAATTTTCATTCTTTTTTTCTTTTTTTTTTTTTTTTTTGGAGAGATTTTCACTGTAGGGCGCGTGC